TATATATATATATATATATGTTTTTTTTTTATTAATTTTTTTAATGGATCTTCGTGTCATTTTCTGCTTTGAGTTGTTTTATTTCTGTGATCGATTGGCGACCTGTCCAGGATTTATCCTGCCTTTCACCCAAAGATTGTTGGAGATAAGCACCAGCCCCCATTGACCCTGACAGATAATATAAAATGTTTAATCCTTTATCATGTTGAATAATATCAAAAATGATATATAAATCTGACAGAAATATACAAATGAATGTTGAATATTTATGTTTGTGTTTTTGCCTCCCAGTGACCCTTACCCTCATCGGCTCGTCAGGGTGGCCGGCCTTCTGCGGCCTGTCCTGTCTCTTGCGGCGAAGAAGTTGCTTGGCATTCTTCTCTGTAATAATAGGGTTGGCATCTGAAGAGGGGAAAAAGGAGTTTTTCTGAATGTATTCATTGTTTTCTGGTTAATTGTATTACCAAGTACAGGGACTGTTTTTTCTATTTTGTTGGGGTTTTTTTTTTTCAATGTTTGGCCACATGGTTGTGAGTCAATGTGCTTCCTCGTATTCTCAGCTTGACGTTGAACCTCAGTCTGTTTTTGTTTGTCTTTCCATAAACATACCAGCTTTTTTGTGACAGCTGGTATTGGCTAATCAGAACAACACCCCTTCACATTGAAAGCAGTCTACAGATAGCGCAATTTAGCTCTATTTGTCGATGTGAGGCAGATTTTTTTCCCCCAAAGCCCATCCCATGGGATCTGGTACTGTAAACATTGCTCTCTGCAGAATGAGGACTCTCTGTCCCCTCTCTCTTGCTCTCTGTAAGCCCAGGGCTGTGTTAGGAGGCCGGTTAGGTAACAAAGTGCTCATTCATCCTTCACACTCCTTGGAGAGAGGGGAGTCTGAGCAGCACGTGACTCGAGCATGCAGCCAGGGAGGCACTGTCTTCCTCTGCTGCGAGAGGGAGCAGCAGGGGAAAGGTTCCTACTTTTGTCAACATTAGGGCCCAGTCTACTGCAGCCAGGACCTCACATTAATACGTGGCAATTTTTTTTCACCCACAAATACGGATATCAAATGGAAAAAAAATGTGACATCTATGATATTTAATGGTCTTAAAAAGAAATCAGCCAGCCTGAGTTATATAAACAAAAAACTTTAGATGCTATTACTTAGATCAGTTTTTAAAAGTAAATAATGTATGCAAACAAAACAAGGAACATTTTTTTATGGGATGCTTTATCCTTTATAATCTGGATAGAGAAATATTCTCACTACTGGAGCAACACAGTGAATATACACGATAAGGTTTTCTTATAATCCTCTTGCCACATGTTCCTGTAAATTAGATTTTATCATCAGATTTATTTCCTTTTGCATTCCTACCTGTGTGAACAGTCAGCAGGACCAGGCAAAGCAAAACAACCACCAGCTTCATCTTCATCTTTCCCACCTGAGTCTTCTCTGCTCTGAGCTCAACACCACAGCCCAAAATGTATAACGGGGGGAATTCTCCTCCTTCTCTTCCTCCTCCTTCCCATCACCCACAAACTTGGTAAATATTGTGCAAATGTACTAAGCTGTTTTTTTTGCTTCTTTTTTTAGTTAGGGAGGCTATAGATTTTAAGAAATATTTCTGCAAATGTCTTAAAATCTTTCAATCATTCTGCTAAAAATGTTGCTACAGGTAAATCAGAGGCAATACGTCCTCACCCCCCTGTTAATCTGTTCTTGTAGAAAGATTTTGTACAGACTGGTTTGAGAATAGAGAAGAAGAAGCAAAAAAAAATTACCACAAACACATAAATAATAAATAAAAAAGGCAATTTCTGACAGAGAGGCTAGAACAGCAGAGGAACGTACTTGGGGCCTCTTGTTCTAATTAAAAACAGGAAACAGTCACTGCAGTTAAAATCAACTCACTCATGTTGCCTGGTCATAGTATGTGGGATGAATGTCTTGTGTGATAGTGAATGACACTATATCCTCCTGAAGGAGTGTAATTCCTGACCAATTTCCATTCTGTCTGCATTCTACCCATCTTCTCATTGCTAAATTTAACAGCAGTGCATTCAGCAGCCTAAACTGGTTTCTTAAAGATTTAGAGTTAATAGTACTTCAGTGGATTTTAGTCTAACCGTATCTCAAATCAATGGAGCTCCATCGGGGTGTGGTGGAACAAGAGATTAACATCATGCATAGAAAACTAAGCTTCAGAGATTTTTTAATGCCATCATTCTTTGACACAAGCTATATCATTATAAATTAAAACAGAAGAGGGTAAAGGCAGGTACTGGATATGTTTAGTGGTTGTGGAGTGTGTTGTGCAGCTAGTCTAAAGGTACACTTACCTATAAAGCACCTGTTTCATATATATCACTACTCTGTTTTCTCTTTGCTTTTTTATGTTGTCTTAAAATCATTTTAGAACAGGCACTATTTCCTTCATCAACTCTATTTTCTAGTCAAATGTATATCTCTCAATTTTTTACAGTAGGTTCTGCCTTATTAGCACCCCCAATGCATCAGATTTTCTGATTCTGATTGCATTGAGGGTGCTAATAATAATTTCGGTGGCAGCAGTAATGGAGAGGGTCAACCACTAGATGGCAGTACTAACACGGAGATCCACGGATTCCTCTGGCTTTCTCAGACAAGCCTGATCACCTTATCTAGAATCACATTTCATGGGAGATTTTAGATTTGGAATTGAGAAATTAAACTAAGTTTTATACTTTAAAACATCTGAGGCTAGATTCCAGTTGTCCACGGGTTTTAATAGACTGATTCTCAATAAATATCTATGTGATTTATGTTTATGTACGACTACAAAGAAAAACAAAAACCCGAGTACGTCATTCTGTGTCATTATTTCCGTTCCCACTTCTCGTAGTTTTTTTTTTTTTTTTCCAGAAAGCGTGAGCAATTAAATAAGCACTTGTCTGGATCCCTCTGATGTGTGATCATGCCTTTGCGCCACTGGAGCTGACCACCGCGCATGCGCAATTTGGAACCCGGGCAAGTGCGCCAAAGATAATTTATAGTGGTACAGGAAATAGTGTCGCTAGCGCCCCCTTCATATCCGGAGTGCAATAGCACCATGTCCATATAAGATATGAGACTGACAGTATGCTGCAGGGAAGTGTACTTGATTTGAATTCACCGCCTAAACGCATCCTTATTTTATTTATTTATTTATTTATTTATTTATTTTTCATTGAAAATATAGAATATCAATGACAATCTCAAACAATACGTCAATAATGAACATTACAAGAAAAAAAAATAAGATCACAATCTTCTATCTTCTATCTTCAATAGAAATTTTAGTTTAGAACAAGGGGGGGAAACAAACAAACAAAAAAAAACTAATAATTAAATTATTATGAAGAGGGGACTAACTTAAACTCTTCCATTAAATCATACAATTTATTTGCTTTAAGGTTCTGCATCTTTTTCAGACATCGGTTAAAGGAGGAAAGTTTTTGAGAGCAGAGAATGAGAGGGAGCATTTTGCATAAAGACATTTATGGATATAATATTTGGCTATAATCATCAAAAGCATTATCTAAGAATTCCACATTTTTTTATTGATATATAAACCAAACTGGATTATTTGCAAGGAATTAAAGTCCACATTTATAGATCTAGATCTGAAGTCGATCCCATAGGTTTCTTACTTCTTTACATTCATAAAAGAAATGATTAAGTCTCCTTATTTTCACAGACCTCGAAGGATCCAGTCCACACAGAACGAGGATACAGCCTTTCAAAATCGATGTTTGTATAATTTCCCTCAAGAAGTCAGCCTGTACTTCTCGTGTGGAGGAATTATCTTGATGTGCAAATGCTCTCTTCAGAAGTGACGTCAGGGTGACGTCGTCCTCTTCCTGTTTGTAGTTTTCCTGTCTCCAAACTACAGAGCAGCATCCTGTTGATGCCAGAGAACATGGCCTTAGCGGGAAAACGTCGCTTTTTGGTGACTCTGCGCTTCTCTTGTTAAAATCCGCCCGTCGCTTGTGTCCGAACCGCGGCCGCCATGTGCCAGGAGGGGGGCGAGGCGCAGCAGGAGGACTGCGGCTCCAGGGAGGAGTGGACGCTGTTATTCTGGACCTCTCTGGCCGTCATCATCCCGGTCATCCTGACGCTGTGGTGCAGCGCGCAGCGCTCCAAGAGGAAAACCTACATCAAGGAGTTCTTCAGGAAGAGCAAACACGGCTGGCATTACACTGACCTGTTCAATAAGCCCACCTACTGCTGCGTCTGCTCCCAGCACATCCTGCACGGAGCTTACTGCGACTGCTGCGGCGTGTGCGCGGATGAGGAATGTTTGCATCGGGCCGACCGGAGCCTCCCCTGCAAAGAGATCGTGGCTCCGTCCCGACCCGACGGAACCATGGAGCACAGCTGGGTCCGCGGAAATGTGCCACTGGCTAGTTACTGTGCTGTGTGCAAACAGCAGTGTGGTACCCAGCCCAAACTGTGCGACCTCAGGTAACCCCAGTCATACACAGGGGCGCAGCTGGATGAACATTTTATTTTGCATATATTAACAATTACTTGACAACAAAAACACTGTGGTTAATTATGCACATAAATATACTAACATTAAAGATGATAAATACAGAATTCAAGCAGAAATAGATTTTGTGTTTTATAGGGTGAAGAGAAAATGATGTGTCTCTGCAAGTCTTCTAGGAGTCTTCAGTGAAATCATAGATACATTTTTAATAAAAACATTTTAAATAATCAATTTATGTAGATATTAGTGCTTGTAAATATCAATTTTATGTATAAAGATTACTGATAAAAGTAGGTAAGTCATCTAGAAAGCATGGATGTTTGGATATATTTGTCTGTTTGTTAGCAAAGGCTGTGGGAAAGTATAGTTTGTCTTTATTTAGAAAATCTGTATGTTATGCTCATTTATTTTCCTGTTGGAACAGTGCAGATTGACCCGGAGGTTCTGAGGTTATCTACTTTTGGCCACCCCTCTGTCTACATTGGTTATTGCCTGGCCACCCTTATAAAAAATTTCTGGCTACGCCTCTGGTCATACATACAGTCAAATATGCAAAGTACTCTAAACTCAGCAAGGATTTATACATTCAGGTTTTGTCAGTTAGGTAAATAAACAAAGAATCTGTAAATCTGTAGCCCATATATACCTTTATTTTAGTTTTTTTAATAGGAAAAATATAAAATTGTTGTCAAGAGTCTTTGAGACATATCTGCATCCGGTGGCGATTAGTAGAACCTGATCTTTATTCATAGTAAAATCAACTGTAACCTGTTTGATCATATTCTAATTAAAAAAATTTTAAAAATAGTATTTGTCAGTAGCCTACGGTTTTGTTTTTTGGTGAGCAAATAAACAGTAATCTCATTGCAATGTTTTGTCTAATCTTAAAAGTATAGATAAGATCAGGTTCTACTGTCACTATCTTACTTCACAGAGACTACATATATATAAAATAGAACAGAATATAGTAGAAAATAGAATTTCTATTCTAAGATCTGATTCTACTCACCTTATCTTACTTTGCAGAGGCTATATACAGAATTGAATAGAAAGCAGAACTTCTATTCTAAAATCAGGTTCTACTGTCCCCATCTTACTTCTCCGATGATATATATAATATATAAATAAAATTGGGTGGAGGGCTAATCATTTAATCTCAATATAAACAGAGACTGATTTTTCAATCCAGCCTCATGTTTTAGTGTTTCATTTAACCTTAATAAGCTGAAGCAATGATCTATGAAATATTCATCAATTTTGAATCGATTCCTTTACATTTTTGTAAAATCGATATCTAGCGAATGAGATCGATTAGTTTTATAGTGACGCGCGTTGACTGAAGACATTAACAAATGGAGGCTTACCAGCAAACACCCTGTAGTTGTTACAGACAACGCTGCAAATATAGTTTGTGCATTGGAGATAATGCAGCTAATGAATGTCTGAGTGAGTGAGGCCTTTTAACTTTTCACAAACAAGTTTGCTCTTATGAGACAGTTTTGTTCACATCTCAAGTTTAAACTGTCTGATTTACAAGTTTGCACTTTGTGTTTAATGTGACAGGAAAAAATAAAATACATGAGTATTTTGAAACACAATTGAACCACTTTCATTATTGTAAAAACAGATTGAATCGATTTAGAACTGTATGAATCAAAATCTAATCTGCCCAGCCTTACTCCTCTCCTTTTCAGCAGTACAGCTCCCAAAGCTGCAGCTTCACTGTTTACGCCTCAGAGCCTCGGTGTCTGTATCTCTGACGTCTGCCTTTCCTCTTATCCTGGGATGTTGACAGAACCCGTCTGACAGACGGAGATCAAACACACTTAAACTCTTCAAGGTTTCCATAACAAAGAAGGAGACGTTCCTCCTTTATAGCTTAATGCCTTTGGCTCTCATATCAGAAGGCTTGTTTCACATTTGTATCATCATTTTAGAAGAAATAAGTTGATCATTCTAGGTTTTAGTCTGGGGTAAAAATCAGGCAGATTTGAACCTTGTATCTTGAATAGTTTTCTTCTGATGACCAGGCTTAGGGATCGCTCACATTCATCCCCATGTTTCTAGCTTATGTTAACCCCAAAATGTCAACACTGTCTGTGAGCAGCAACAACTCTTTTCTTCTTCTTTGATTTGTTTTTCTCCCTCTGCTCCTCCTTTAAGGTGCGCCTGGTGTCAGACCACAGTCCATGACGACTGCGTTGATGGCTTAGCGGATGGAGACGTGTGTGATCTGGGCGAATTCCACAGCCTCATCATCCCTCCGCACTACCTCTACCGCGTCAACAAGTTGCGGCGCCGGCATCCTGATGAGTTCAGCAAGGTAAGGCTTAAATGACCATTTTTTCTTATATAGTTTTATGTTGTATATCTAAGCAGACAAATGAATATTGTACTCCTGTTTTTTGTTTGTTTTTGCGCTCTGCAGCTGGGGGCCTCCTGTGGGAGCAGCTGGACTCCTGTATTGGTTTTGGCCAACACACGAAGCGGCAACAACATGGGGGAGGCTCTGCTGGGAGAGTTTCGAACCCTTCTCAACCCTGTGCAGGTCAGTGTCTCTTGCTTCGTTTGTCTCCCTCCAGGTGTGTCGCCCTCCATTTTGATCAGAACGTCTCCGTCCTTCTCCAGGTGTTTGACCTATCTGAGCTGACTCCTTCCAAAGCCCTCCAGCTGTGCACCTTACTCCCCCCCGGCAGGGTCCGGGTGTTAGTATGTGGAGGTGATGGCACTGTGGGCTGGGTCCTGGATGCAATTGATGCAATGAAGCTCAAGGTAAGATTTTTATATCTTCTTTATGTTCAATGCGGTCCAAAACCTTTTAAATTGGCTTTACAATTAATAAGATACTTTTAATCAAGACCAAGTGTAAAGAAAACTGGAGGAAATGTGCACCACTGCCTGTTTGGTGCATTACAAGAGATCTTGTACTTGTTTATAAGGGACAATTATGCAGACCAGCACCATTAAATTTATAGTTTTGACATGAACAAGATTTATTGTTTTCACATGTTTTATAATTAAAAGTTGTATTGAGTCTCCTAATATTCTGACAGTCCTAACTATAATCCATATGCTTTTAAAAGTCCCCTGAGTGCATGGAGTCCTCTTATGCATCATTTTTATCTCAGTATACGTTCTATGAAAACCTCTGAGGACTTTTAGAGAACAATTTGAAACAAAGCAGACCCATGAAACCCAAGGAATTTCACTGTGAAATTCATGATCGTTGTGGTCAAGTTCTTACCAGAGCTTATAAAACAGTATCCTAACTAGGGCGGGGCGATATCACCTCAAATCAGTATCACCATAAATTGGACAGTTTTACCTCGATAACAATAAATTCCCCAGCTGTTCTATCAGAATTAAAGGCATGTGCAGGAAATGCAACTGAGCTATTTATAATTTATACATTTAATAAATCACATTTCATATTACTTTCAATTAAATATTAAATTATTGTACCTATTCAGGTTTGAACATTAAACAATGTCTCATTGAACAGGTGAAAAATGTTTCCTCTCTTGCAAACATTTTTGTGCAAAGGTAATGGAGCCTTTTGCACATCTTTAAACTAAACAGCTTGGAGGTTGGATGTGTTACTTTTGATAGACCCGATTTCAGAAAAAATTAGCGTTTCGTGTTCTTTTGCTCAACATCTGTGGCGTAATTTTGGTGCCACCAATCTGAGTGTGCAATGAGAACAATGTGCGTCGTTTAAACCCTCGCATCCTCGCTCAAAAACGTCTGCCACGCACACAACTCTGACTACGCCCTCTTGACCTCTTCTCTGCGCGCTCAGCTATGTTAGAAGCTTCTTCAATGGGGTTATCCATCATTCTCTTTATTTTGCTTCTGACTGGATCAGTGGAGTCACATGATCGCACATGCTTCTCTTTCTTATGCTGCGTTCACACCGAACGCAGCAGGAGCAGCCAGTTTACATGCGAAGTCAATGGTTGATGAGTGTCAAGACGCAGCAAAATGTCCCGCGGCGCCTGTTGAGCAGCAGGCGCACTTCTGGTATGTGGGGGTCTGAGCGGCTCCGACAGAAATAATTTTGGAAGGCAGGATGGTAATCTGGATGAACTGACTGCAGTGATTAAGTTTACAGGTGGATTTTCTTACTTAAAAACATAATAAAACTACTTTATTCTCACTGATCACAGCAAATACAGCTGCAGGGCAGAGAAAGGATAGAGTAGCTCCGCCCAACGCGTGTCAGGGCCACTTTTCCACTGCGCAGCCAGAGCAGCAAAGCTGCTTCAGCCGTGCGTCAGAACTAAACTGGTATAAGCAGCATAAAGGAAGCAGCAGACGTGTTTTTGCTGATCCTGCTGCGTCCGGTGTGAACGCAGCTTTAAAGGGGAAGGAAATACCAGCCACCAGTGCACACAAGAAAAACAGCGGAATTATTTGCCGGCTTATTAACGGAATTTACCGACATGGGAAAATTGGCCCCATTTATCGTAGTGAATGAAGGTAATTGTAAAAATCCGGTGAATCGCGTAGCCCTAATCCTAACCTTTGAAATTATCATGAAAAACTGTTTTGTTTATTATCTCAAATAGAACGAGCATAATACAACCAAAAACCTACCAAGATATGGACTTCTACAGAGCAGCTGGAAACAGACTTTGGATGAGTTGCTGAGATTCATTGCTAAATTGGGAGAATGTGTTTACCAGGACAACTATTAGTATCATATATCTGGATTTTAGTGTAAAACGAGGAGAAGAAGGAACTGATAGTAACTATGAGTGACAGTTTTCCAGTAGCCTTGTAGGGGATCAGCAGTAAGCCGCTTATCAAATGATGATATCATTTTAAAAAAACACATGAAATGCAGCAGTTCCCCTGTGTGATACATGGTGGTGGCAGCATCATCCTGTTGGGATGTTTATTTTTCAGCAGGGATAGGAAGGCCGATTAGCGCTGATGAAGGGACTTTAATAAAGAGCAGTAATAGAGGACAGCCTGTTAGAGGCCAAAGTCTAAACCTAAAGACATATACATGCAGCATATCTTTAAATGAAAATCCAACAAAAAAAAAAGATAATTAACTTCCCCCTCATGGTATTGCTTTACTTTGTGTTGGTGCATCCCAATAAATCCCAAAGGTTTTTGTTTGTAGTTCTACAAGCTGTAAAAAGGTTTAAAAGATGCTCACTTTTGCTCCCTCCATGCCACTAAGTCTATATTTGTACTTTTTTTATGTTATTATATTTCCCTATGTTTTCCTTTTCTTTCAGGACCAAGATCAGTTCATCCCCAGGGTGACCATTCTGCCTCTGGGAACAGGAAATGACCTTTCCAACACTTTAGGCTGGGGAGCTGGGTATGCTGGAGAGATCCCCGTGGAGCAGGTTCTCCGTAATGTTCTGGACGCCGAAGTGGTCAAAATGGACAGGTGGGGACACAAAACTACCAGTTGTTGAAAACAAACATATATTAAAACAGTTTGAACATGAAGGCGGATGTTATCCTTGGTCAGTTTAATTCTGCTGATCTGCACGTTGATCATTTTCAGATGGAAGGTGCAGGTAGCTTCAAAGGGCGTCTACTTTCGAAAACCAAAGGTACATTTTTTTATTTCTTTTTTTTCCTCTTAATACATGCCAACGTTTTTACAACCCAAAGCCGACCCACTGAGCTTTTCTCCCCCCCCCCATCAGGTTCTGTCCATGAACAACTACTTCTCTGTAGGGCCTGATGCTCTGATGGCGCTCAACTTCCACGCTCATCGCGAGAAAACGCCCTCCTTCTTCTCCAGCCGCATCATAAACAAGGTCTGAGCACTTTGCTTAAATACACAAATCCCATTCAAATGTGACCACTTGGATTTTCATATAATAACAAAGGTATTGGTTTTAAATTTGGTGGCTTTGTCTTCTCATCTCCTCCCTCAGGCTGTGTATTTCCTGTATGGCACCAAAGATTGTTTAGTGCAGGAGTGTAAGGATCTGGATAAGAGGATTGAGGTACAGTAAAGTAGTCCTGGTTGTTCACATATTCTGACCTGGCAGCTGAGCAGGTTACTGTTAGTACCTTTTTAAGTATTTATGCAAAGTCAAGTTAAGCCTATAAGTCCATCCATTAGTGCATGCTGCTAGAAGTTAAAGGCTCCGTTTTATACAGTTATGATAAAAAGATTAATCCAAAGCAGGCCTAAAACGAACATCTACATAATTATTGTGCTTTACAGTTTCAAAGCAGTTGACATACATTTTTAAAAAACCAGTATTGGGTCCAGATGTTTGAATCTAAACTGGATAACTACTGGGAACAGTGGGGAAGTCCAAAACCCTCTGAGGTCCTGGAAGGAGAAGTGCAGCTTCACACAATTTGGTGAAAATATTTAGGTTAAATTATCGATTCATGCCCTTTTTTCAAAGTTTAAAAAGAAGTATCACCCTCTAATGAAAATGGATGGTTTAGCTTTTTCAGGCACAGCCTTGAAACCCGAGGCTGAACTGGAACTGCAAGCTGCTCAATGGCTGCTAACGGCATAGCTAGTTATACAGCCATGTGAATTGGGAGATTGTTGGACCAAGAGAAAAGCATCTGCTCATAAATTAAATAAATTAAACCCCCCCAAAAAAGCCCTAAAACACTTTAAAGAAAAAAAAAACATGGTGTTGCTGGGGATCTTTTTAGCTGTCAGTGGTACTGATGCTGAGCACAGCATGGATCTTTCTTTTAAACCACTGAATGAAAGTATTGAAGTGAGCCCAAACCCATCAGCACTGCTAAAAGCAGGCTAACATCAGGCACCTAGAGGGGCCTTACACTGAAAAGGTGGGAAACATGCCTGAAAGTCATATCTGTGTCACGAAAAACCAACCAACTTAAACTTTGCTTATTCTTCCAAGTAGAAAACAACTTGAAAATATTGGACTGCGACATATGTAATGGGATTATAGATACTGGAAGTTAAAGAATAGCAATCTGCCTTCTGGCACCATGCTTAGTAGACAATGTTTGGTCCATTTTAATAAGATTAAAAAAAACTTACAGTTCAGTTAAAACAACCCTCTCTGTAGCTTGGATCTGAAATGAAATGAAAACATCTGCAGCCATATGACAAAAAAAGCTAAAAACACTGTGTGGTCTGATGAATCATCTGTTTTTTTTATTCCTTCGATATAAATTAATCTAAGCAGGGATTAGTGAGGTTATAGTGTTTTCTAATGTTTTAAAGTTTAATTCTTAAGGTCTTTTTTCACCTTGAACACCACAGCTGGAGTTGGATGGGGAGAGAGTGGCACTGCCCAGCCTGGAGGGCATAATCGTTTGTAACATCGGCTACTGGGGAGGAGGCTGCCGGCTTTGGGATGGTATGGGAGACGAACCCTGCCCCCCGACTCGGTGAGATGAGCTCAGGCTGTTGATCTGATTCAGACATGTTAGATTTTATTTGTAAAAATACCAAAAAGGTTGATTTATCCAGGCTTAAGTGGCTGTCGACTTTAACCTCCAGGCTGGACGACGGGCTGCTGGAAGTTGTGGGTGTTTTTGGATCCTTCCACTGTGCTCAGATACAGGTCAAGTTGGCCAACCCTGTTCGACTGGGACAGGCACACACTGTCAGGGTGAGGCCATAGCACCCACCAACACACACTCCCATCACAGAGGTTCCTACTCGGCTTATTAGGAGTGTTTGCAGGGAGATAATATGTAAATCCAATTACTTTTGCTGACGTATGCTTCCATGCATCACAGTAGAATCAAATTAAACTTAATTCATGGTCCTCACTTCACCTGCTGCTTTGCTCTTCAGTCGCCTCTTTCTATTTTTATTTCCTCTGTCTCAACTCTTAAAGCTATAATCCATGTTTATCAGTCACAATGCTGCATTTCTCTGTGTTCCATTAAATAATTACAACTGTTAAGGAGTAAAAGGTTAGGGCTAGTTCTTTAGCAGCCAACAAAGATGGTGTATCAGTGAGGATACAGGTAGAAAGACAAGGAGGCTTTCATTTCATTTGGCGCTACGGTCAGCAGGTTTATTTAACCTCAATGCTCAATGCAATAACAAATGAAATGCCATTAGGCAAAATATAGTGCAACAACAGAGGTTTAGACCAAATAAACTGAAATATATCTAATGAGACGAAATTAAACATCCATCTGTGGAAATTAGTTCACAACATAATAAATATAACTCAAATTATGTAAACATCCAATCTCTTGGCTTAAACAATGCATAAACTGAAATAGTGGCTAAATGAATGTACTACACTGCAGTGGCAAGCACCACTGCATGCCTAGATCACAATATATATCACTCCAACACAGAATGGCGAACATCCAAGTAAATGGATGAAAGGTAAACTTATGAAGGTCATTTAGGTCTCAAGTACCAGCGTGTAGTAGTAATAATAATAATAATTGAATTCTATAGATCTCATGTTGGAGAAATTTACCTCTGTATTTAATCCATCCAATTGTGCTCTGAGAGGGTTGCAAGTGCCCGGTTTGATCCCCCCAGCCTGCGTTCTGGGTCCCTGAGCAAGACCCTTAACCCCTGATTGCTCCCCAGGCGCTGCACAAAGGCAGCCCTCTGCTCCACAAGGGGATGGGTTAATATGCAGATGGGAATTTCTCCAGTGTGAGATCAGTAATGTTCAATTATTATTATTATTTACACTCGAGCGTCAATGTTTAAGACTGCAAACAGAAACACAGCCAACATGCTGAATCTATGCCTACGTCACTTCCTGATAAATGTTAAACCAATATTACAAAGAGAACAAGAAAAAAGCAAGCAAAGATTATCTAAGCCTTTTTCACAACAAACATAATTTTACCCAAACTGAAACAGAATTACACGACGGTGGCCTGTGAGGTTCACCTGCGTGTGCGTCTACCTAAAACGACATTTGTTGTGTCTTTACTACAGTATTTCAGAAGGGATCAATCAGACTCAGGAATCGATTGCACCTGTATTTATTTTTTTTTTCTTTCTGCTTTTTAACTGAGAAAAAGAAGTGGTACCAATCAGCTGAAGGCGTTTTATAGTCATCAGAAGCATTACTGCTATGACGTGCTTGACAAGATTTACATTTGATACAAATAAAGAAAGGAAAAATTCTACTGATATTATCAATCGGATTTAACCCAGGATGCAAGTTGCAAAATGTCTCCCATCACGTGTGGAAAAAAATGTCTTTTTGCGCCATTTGCCACCTGGCAGTGATATCCATTAGATTTACTTACATGGTTAAGATTAACGGATTTATTAACCGATTTGGTATCGGTATCAGCAAGTAACTACAATTAGGGCACCGATACCATTTTGAAAGCCAAAAGTTTATTCAACTATTGTCACCCATTCCAGGTAGGCAATAAAAAGTTCTACTGGATTCCCTTTGTTTTAGTTTTTTCCTGCTTCACAAAGGTAGGCAGCAGCTTGACAAAGCCATTATTTTACATCCAAGTAGTATGCAGTTCTTCATATATATACACACACATTATTTCGAACAGATGGTATCGGTGTCGGCCAATACTGCACAGCCGGGTATCGGTATCGAGGGCAAAAAATGGCATCGATGCAGCACTAGTAAAAATTCCTTGGGCATGCCTCGGTGGCGCAGTGGTTGGCATGCAGCACCCATGCACAGAGTCCTTAGACCTTGACGTGACTGACCCGGGTTTGAATCCGACCTGTGGTCTTTTGGTGCATGTCTCTCCCCTTTTCTCATACGTCCTTTCCTGTCGGCCTAATGTTGAAAAAATCGAGCCACTAGTAACATAAAAATAAAAAAAAATTTAAAATTCTTCTTCAAGAACCTTTGGCTATCTGATTATTAATCAGAAAAATAATCGTCAGATTTATCAATTTGCTAAATAATCATTAGTTGCAGCCCTAGATATTTTCCTAATTTCGAAAATGCAACTTTACACAGTTGGGATATTTCCATTAAGTAAAAAATACTCTTAAAGTTGCATATGAATATGTTTGTTCACACGAGAAATCTTTAAAACAACATGGCAGCGTGGGATGTAAACACATGAGATATATCCATATTTCAGCCACAGCTCTAGTGAGCGTCATCCTCCTCTATTTCAAGTCATCTTGTGTTTTTACAAGGCAGTAAAGTCCAGCTGCAGATATGTGACTCATATGATGCCAAAAAGTTTCCATTGCAGTGTAGCGAAATATAATAATGCGATGCAACGAAAATAAACACCTCATCAAAGCGTAAAAACATTTTATTGGCAAATATTTTTTTCCATTTAGCAAAATTATTTTGTATATGCAGCTACTGTATCCTAAATGTCAAAGTCTACTTAGAGCAGGATAAAGGCAGGTAGAGCTGCTGACCTCAATAAGCTGTCTCTACTCTGGAGCTCTTATGAGCAAAATCAATAGTCTCTGTGTGCCGACGCTGAGCTTTTTGAAATTTTACAATTAATATCATTGTAGAAGCCAATTATCTTTTGTTAATAATAAACAACGTTTTTTGTTTTTTGGCTAATCTAGCTAAGCGTATTCTACTTTAATGTTTGATGTCTATTATGAGATTATTTTTATTTGGTTATTTGGTGATGTTCCTTTGTTTTTGTTTACCGGTAGTTATAATTAGGGGTGCACCGATAACTCGGCCGGCCGATCGATCGGCCCCGATTTACTTAATTTAGGGTGATTGGTGATCGGCCGATATATACATAGGAAACCGATCTTGACCACCGATCTATTTACCTCCGCGAGTGTCTTAAAATCAGTCTCTATTCCATATTTTTTCTGCTCCTAGAGACGGCTGACTGAAAGACCCGCCCACCGGGTCGAGTGAACTGTAACAACATCCGGTGTCGCAGTTCACAGGTCACCAGGTGCAGCTATGTCGTTGGTTTGGAATTATTATACTGTTAAAGGAGGAAAAGCTCGCAATTTGCAATTCTTGTAAGGCCGAAATTAGTCTGGGTGGAACCACTTCCAAAAGCTTTAATACTGCAAACCTCGTTCGCCATTTAAGAAACCACCACGCCGCTGAATATGCAGCATTTGAAAAGAACAATCAACCTAGGGCTAAAGCGAAAGTCACCGGAAGAAAACAGTCCGTTGGTGGCCCGCTGTTAGCTCTTATGAGCAATGAGAAAAACAAAGCTTCTACGAGGAAACCTATCTCTCTGCCCCATGCACAAGCATTGAAAGTGAACGCCTGTTTAGCTTGGCTGGATGAGTAGTAATAGATGAGAAAAGCAGAAATGTTTTTATTCATCAAGAAAAACCTGCCACTAATGCTCAAGTGACTCCAATAAGACTGTGAGATCAAAGCTTACCCCCGATAATGTTGTTAGAAGATTTAGTATTGTAAGATTTTGCAAGTTACTGTTTAGATGGCTTATACATTTAAATGGACACAAAGCTGCTGCATTGGGGGATTTTCTTTTAAGTTGCTAGTATGTTCTCAAAGGACCTTGAAACTTGTGATTTTGTAAAAGCAAAATACTACTGTGCACTTTATTTTTGGTAAGAATCTTAAAACAGTTCTCTAATCTGATCTTTTGTTGAAGTTTTGTTTTTTGAAATGTAAAAAATCAAAAGACCAATGTTGTAGTCTTAAGTTTGTTTTATTTAATTAATATTTATTTAATTCATTTCTATGTCAAGGCTCTACCTCAGTTAAAACAAGTTTATAATGGTTCAAGGCTATTGTTCAAGGGCATGTTTTTCAAGAAAAGATTGTAACATTGAAAGTGAATTGCGATCTTGTAACACAGTGTTGATCATAGCAAAAAAATAATCAAATCGGTATTAACCAAAATCGGAATCGGCAGGTCAGACTTTTTAAAGAAAACTGCAATCGGTGCACCCCTAGTTATAATTAATTTGGGTGAATTATTTTTATAAAAAGGCAGTCAATGGTAGGACCAGCATGCATCTGGGTGGGCGTTTATTTTTGTTTTTTTTTTAAACATGGAGGAAATGTTTGTCTTTTTCTGTCTGCTTGCCTGAGGAGAGAATAAACTGAGAAAACTAAATGAGTTTAGCTGGAACATTTTTTTCTTTTGCCTGCATAAAATTAGTCCATGGTACATCTCTANTTTTTACTTAAATACGCCCATGTAGTTTATTAACTGAAATGACTCGGCAGTGTTGATAGTTTAAGTGACTTAATATATCTGGGACGTTACCCAAATGTAAGCAGGCCTGTGTATGGTTTTGTATATACAGTAGGTTAAATAACATGGAGCTGGTTTTATTGCCATGTGTGAACAGTGACATTTAGTGATGTATAGTTATATCTGAATTAGCTAATTTGCATTTTATCACCTGGTCTGAAAAGGGCAGTGTTGTCCTATTTGCATGTTTTTGTAAAACATAAATTTGTCTGAAATAGAAAATAACGAAGAAACCTCTGAAAGACCTGTTTGCCTCACTTATCTTTGTTTTAATTATATTTTAGTGCCTTTTTATTTAACTGTATTAATGGATAAAAAGACTTTCATAAAGTAAAAAAAAAAAATAGTTCAATTATTTACATATTAAGGAATGCCTGTAGGAATAAAAATATCAAAAAACATCTGAATGTACACATTGTTAATACTTAATATATTTATATTTAGTAGTTTCAGTGTTATCTAATTTTGTACCACACAGTTATACAGTATTTCTCCAGGATTATTTGCTGACGTGGTTGTGTGTGTTAGACCTTACTTATAGATAAAGAGCATGTCATATAATAACATGTGTTGATTTTCTCCCCTCAGCTGGTTCTGAAGAGCTCCACAATGCCGATGCAGGTAGACGGGGAGCCTTGGGCTCAGGGACCCTGTACCATCACCATCACCCATAAGACCCAGGCGTTCATGCTGTACCACAGCGCTGAGCAGACCGATGATGATGACGAGTCCAGCGGCTCTGAGGCGGACAGCCCGGCGCCTTGTGGCTCCTCCAGAACCCCCTAGTTGGCCACTGTGATCCCAAGCTCCTCGTGTGTTTGTTACTGCCTTTCAGTCTGATTTCACTGGTCCATCATTTGATCGAGTTGGTCTCTACTTCGTATGCCCACTCATTTTTGAGGGATCGCATCTGATCGATTTTGTGCAATAGTTATATAGTTTTAAATATTTCACATAACTAAATGAAAAGTCTAGATTCTTCAAACCCTTATTTGTTGCAACCCAGAGCTCAGGCGTTTTTACTTTCTGGAGCAGTCAGGACGAGTGAGGATATGTTAAAGAAAGCTTTCTGTGTATTTGCACTGATCCCTTGTGCCATATTGTGCTATTTATTCTGCTTTATTTAAAACGGTTTTCCTTTCAGTAAACCAAATCTGACATGTTTCCCAAGTCCTCTAAAAGCCAAATTTAAACCTTCAGCAGGCCATGAAGCTGTGATACAAAGAGTCCTGTTGCCACCAACTCTCAGTGGTTCCTTTATGAAAGTTTTATGGTAAAAACTAAACAAAAAAGGTTCAGTAATCAGTTAATGCTGAAATGTTTGCCAAAAGATTCATGAAGTTGAATGAAAAGAAACTTCTGAGACAGCGACCTTTGTCAGGGACTTTTTTTTTTTTTATTTTTTTTATTGATTTTATGTGATAGCCCAACACAAAGCATAACTAGTAAGAGGAACGATGATGGTTTTCATTAAAAAAATTGCTTATTGAATGCATTTGCATTCAATACCACAAGTATTTTATAGAAGCAGCATTTGCAGTCATTGCAGTTGCTTTTGTTTCTGTCTCTAATAATTTTTTCTGATCTTTAAAAAAAAAAATAGCTCTGCATAAGTTCAATGGGTTTGAAACTAGGATATATATATATATATATATATATATATATATAAACCCATGTTTTCTCCCCGCTTAAAACCTCATGCTGCCTTGTATCGGACTATCAGATTAGATATTGTGACAAATTTCAAAAGGGCGCCGATGCCTTTTGTTTAGTCTTACAGTCTATCATTAATATAAAGACTTGGGAAATGTTCCTACAAGACAAAAGCTGATTGGTTGAGGGTTAATTTCAAAGCACTGCCAAGTAAATATTGAGCCACTTTGCTAAACCTGTAAAACCTTTGTTTACATATCTTGTGTTGCACTTAGACTGCCTAGGATGTAGCTTCTATACATGTTACTGCAATGTAATCACACCTGCTGAGATTTGACTTTGTGTAAGCAGTCCTTTTAACATTTCGTGTTTTACCTGTGATCACCACAAGGTGGCAGACTGAGCACAGTATTAAGAAGTTGAGGTGTCCCACACTGTTTTATTTCAATAGTTCAAGCATCTGTTTGCATGTAGTGTTCAGAAGATGCTGTTGCTCCTGACATCTGTCTGTTAAGTAGGTGTTTGCAGGATTGATGTGATTCTGAGCAATATCAGAAAAGCCTGTTGAAAAAGTTTTCTACAGCAGTTTCTAAGGTGGAACGGAATCAGTTAGCCATTATGATGCCTATGCTTTTTAATCCCAGCGTCCCCTTGCTGGATGACACACAATTACAGTTTAATGCGAGGTGTGTGTTGGGAAGGTCAGCTCTTTGGGTTTGAACCAGTTTCACATTTAAAGCTGATCCGACAGAACTGTTTTGTAGTGGGGTCACTGACATTATTATTGCTTGGGCAGAATGCCTTTCTGTGCATGTGCGATATTTAAAGTTTAAGAAATCAACAGAAGAAGGTGTTCAGGTTAAGAAAACGACTGAAATACTATTTGGATATTAAACCACTGACATTTCTGCTGTGAGAAATAAAATAACTGAAGAATCTACTGTAAGGATGTTAAATCAATTACATTTGGGGAAATTGTGAGGGTAAGTTTAAAGAAAAACTACAAAAAAAAAAAATTCAGGGGGGGAAACAAGCCTTTATTTCAAACAATCATTAAAAAAAAGTGTTTACATAATCTGACATGGTCCAAGTTTAATTGAAATGAATGTAAAGAGGATGTTTTGAATGAAGACATTCCCATAAATATTTTCATACAAACAAGCTGTGTCTGTGTTTTCAGTTCTGGGGGTTCTGTAAAACAAGCTATAAGCAGTTATTCTTTAATAAATCAAAAGGCATGTAACGGGCGGTGTTATTTTTTTTATTACCATTTTAACCTAAGCAGCTTAAAACGACTCCTTTGTTCTCCATTAGACCATCAGTGGATTAACATCGTGCCATCACCTTACAGGCTAAATGAACTACAGACTTCCACATTGCAGACCAACTAAAAAAAAAAAACTACTCTAGAGGGTGTCGTCAGGCTAAAGACTGTCCAGGTCTAACAGCTGATTTGCTAGCATCCAGGGGCATCATCAGGACTTGTGTTTGCATCGTCCTGGTTATTGTTAACAGAATCTACACACTTAAATCTGCTTTTTATCATTTATGTCTAATTGCAAAGAGCCAAATCCGACCCCTGAGGCTCAAGGAAAAATAAATAAATACTGAACTAAAGCTGTTGAGTACTTTAACCTCAGGATTTATGTTTCTGGGTAATCTTCAGCTAAATAATCATGAGCATTTTGTTAACCAGTAAATGAAGCTGTCCAAACATCAAGCATTCTCACAGACATTTCCACTAAAAATGTATTTTACAAGAGAGAGGTTTCAAGCTACAGACTCCTTTAAGTCACATTTAAATGAGTTGCATATATTGTATAACATTGGGGTAAAATATGGCACTCTTCCTGCTTACAGTAACCACTTCATTTCTAAGCAATGATTTAGAGTCAAACACAGAATCATAATCTCTTTGTAACGTTTCTGCAGGCTGCTGTTTGAAATTATATATAAGCCTTTATGAGAGATCAACTCAATCATTCCAACTTCATGAAGTGTAAATTCAACTTTGAATATCTTGATTTTTAAATCAGCTACAAATGTGCAGATGACATAGATAAGCCCTTTTCTCCATTCGTGTTTCCTTAAAAGTGTGCAACCTCAATGAGCATTATGCTACTTTGTTTAGTGCAATATCCACAGATAACCAGTATTTATAATAAAAGGCCATCGCTTAATTTTCATTGTTATCCAGCTTTATTTTTGTTTAATTTAATGTAGCTTTAACTTCTATATATATATATATATATATATATATATATATATATATATATATATAGATGCAAACTAAGAAGTGCGGTTAACATTACAGCATATGACAGTATCAACATGTCATCAACATAAGGCAGTTAGTCTATAACCTTACTTAAAAATTTTGCATAAGAGTAGGAATGTATTAATAAATATTGTATTGCTGTATGAAGCAACTAATATACTTTCACAAGCATGATCATTAAAAGGTTATCAAATCTTGGACTCATTTCCCTTCAGCTCCCCATAGTGGGTTTTCACCACTTGCTCTGGCTTTGTGCACAGAAAACAAAATTTATTAAACAAACAAACGCAAAGTGGTGGGCAATTAGATTAGGTGGAATGTTTGGAACATCTATTTTCCCCATTATTGGACTGATTGACATAGTAATCACTGGCCTTCCTCTTTACTTTCACAAAGGAGTTGCTTTTCCCATTTTTAAAGGTAGCTAAACTATAAATATTACTGAATAAAGGGGGAAAATACGGATTATTTATAATGCATTAGTTTAGGTTTAATAACCCAAAACAAAAACCTTTAAAAAAGCCCAAATGTCACCAATTACAACATTAATTTCATGCATGGGGTTTTTGTAGTCCCCTCCGTATAGACCAGGTGGGCTGATGAAGACTCCTACTTATTTTTTCTAGGGTGAGGGTTGTGTCCGGCCCTTTTCTCTGATGGTGGATGGCTTTTCGGTTTGTCCTTCTTAGCAGAATCGGGTCCCTTCCCACCAGGTTTCTGACCTCCTTGGGCGCTTGGTGGATGTTTGCCTTGCTCTGAAATAAAATGTGTAATACTTTTACTTAATTTGTATCATAAGGGTGGTTTGTTTATCCAAAATGCAGGAAGTTAAAAGCTTGAATTCTTAAACGCCATCTTAGGTTGGATTGGATGAGGTCCAGGGCCAAACCTTAGAAAGCCTGAATGTGTAATGTGGTTATTCAGGTCTGACAGAAGCCACTGTTTTACCTGGCAAAGAAACAGATGAACTTCGTCCTAAGGACAGCTAACTAGATCAGAGCAGACACACAGTCGTCACCTGACAAACATGTCTAATACAACAGCTTCATGGTGAAATCAGCATAAAACATGCAAGATTTTACTGAAAACTCAGGGCTGAAAACAAGCTTTAATGTGGCTTGCATTGTTATTACAGGGTTTATACAGAAATGAATAATTCTAATTAATGCTTTTTAATGCTATTTTAAAGCTCTTAGAAATAATTTTAATGCCATCAACAAGTACCCATGACTCTCATATATATATATACATAAACATGTGGAACCAGTTAATATGATATAATATATCTGAAAAAAAAATTGTTAAATAATATAATAAAGCATTTTAAATGCCACTATTATCAAATTTAATGAATTTTAATGCCAATTGAGGCCTTAATTAAAAAAATTATAATTTAATGAATTTTAATGACCTGCGGAAACCCTGTATTAATCTAAGTTATTCCCCATATCCTTAACCATTTTATTATGGTTACCAATCTGGGATCACTAAACTGCTAGAAGGTTAACCTTGTTCAGCAAAATGCCGCTTTATTTAGTTTTCTGTGAGTGCAACATATTCACCCCTCTATTTCGCTGAAGGGAAAACTTTTTTATTGTTATCTTTAATGGAAAACATGCATTCCTATTTTCCTGTTACCACTGTACAACTTCCTGTTATAGGAATATAAATATTATGTATTTATTACTCAAGTAGGTGTGGTCCATGAGCTTTATTATCCTTGAGCTGAAGTTGTCCAAGCTGTGATCAATAACTGCAGTGCTGGTGAATGTGGGAAAAGAATCCAGGAATAACTTACTGTGGTGGGGCTGGTGGCCGCCGTCAGCCTTCTTGTCTGAAACAGGATAAAAACAGACAGATATTATAGTTTTTACACCCTTAATTCACTTTAACTGTAACAAAAGAAATTATTTTTGCACAATTTTATTTATTTAATGATTTAACTTTGTAAACAAATGTTGGAGAGGGATTTTATTTTGAAGGGCTGTTGAAGACCTGGACTCACACATCCAGGAAGTACTAAGAGCAGTCCAGGTCTTCAACAGCCCTTCAAAATAAAATCCCTCTCCAACAAAAGAGAGATCATATCTCTCCTATTCTAGCTTCTCTTCATTGGCTTCCTGTTAAATCCAGAATAGAATTTAAAATCCTCCTTCTCACATATAAAGCCTTAAATGGCCTAGCTCCGTCTTATATCAGAGATATTATTGTTCCTTATGTTCCTAACAGAGCACTTTGCTCTCAATCTGCAGGTTTACTAGTGGTTTCTTGAATTTCTAAAAGTAGAATGGGAGGCAGATCTTTTAGTTATCAGGCTCCTCTCCTGTGGAACCAACTACCAGCTTTGGTCCATGAGGCAGACACCCTGTCTACTGTGATGGGTAGGCTTAAAACTTTCCTTTTTCATAAATCTTATAGAGTGGATCAGGTTATCCTGAGCCATCTCTATAGTTATGCTGCTATAGATTTAGACTTCTGGAGGACATAGGGACCCCCATTTCATCATATCTCTATTCTCCCACTCTGCAGAATCTGTTAGTTCAATCTCTAACATTATGTTCTGCTTTTTCCTCATAGTAGCTTTGCCTCATCTATTCCTGTTTGGCTGTGACTCTATCCTGGAGAGAAAAATATCAGCTTTGCTGCTGCCATCAACACCTTTGTTTATAGATGTTGGAGATTGGCCTGGTTTCCAGTGTGGTCCTGTTTCTCTGACTGTGACTGGCTGGATGTGCTCTCTTCATCCTCTGACATGGGAGCTGGCTCTTTTGCCTGGCTGTGTTTCCTGGACGGGGCTGCCCTTTTACAGCTGCTTTTTGCATCTCTTCTTCTGTCTCTTTGAACCCCAGTTGGCCTCGGCAGATGGCCGCTCACACTAAGCCTGGTTCTGCTGGAGGTTTCTTCCTGTTAAAAGGGAGTTTTTCCTCTCCACTGTCCCTACAAGCATGCTTAGTGTGAGGCATTGCATTCAAGTCAATGAGTCGATGCAATCAACTGGTTTTCCTTAGATAGAAAACTTTGAATCAATTTGAAGGTATGATCTGGTGAACTGTAAAGTGCCTTGAGATGACGTGTTGTGAATTGGCGTTATAGAAATAAACTGAATTGAATTATCACTGTACAACTTCCTGTTACAGGAATATAAGTTTGTTATAACGTGTCAAAATGGTAAAGGAGCTCAAAGATCCACACTTACTAAAGCCCTCACCTTATCCAAGCTGAGATTAATGTGAGGGCTATAGTAAGTGTGCTCCTGCAATGGTGGTAAATGTGTGAACAGAATACAGGAATAACTTACTTTGGTGGGGCTTGTGGCTGCCGTCAGCGTTCTTGTCTGAAACAAGATTCAAACAGTGAGATATTGCAATATTTTCTTTTCCACATTTAACTGCGTGAATGCTTTACAGCAGGTACAGTAAAAGGAGGCATTATGGTGCAGCTGCTGCAGACCATATTTTAAAATACTGGTGGTGCCAAAATCCTAAATAATTAGAGTTTTCTAATCACTAGTCTCTCCTAAACAGTTTCAGGTACAAACATGAGACTTGGCATAAGACCCCTCTAGTGCTCACATTGAAGACATTTCTTTATATCATAAAAGGTACAAGAATGACATCGACAAGCATTTTTATACCAGCGCTACGAGCATTTGTTCGGCACAAAATGCCCCATATAATAAAGCCTGGTAGAGTGGGGCAGACTTTTCAGCTGCAGCTTTAGGTAAATAAAGTCAGTGTGCAAGGCCAGATTTATAAAAAAAAATTGAATAAAAAAAAAAGAATCAGGGGGGTTTCAAAGACATGGCCTCGGAGTGTTTAGGGTCGTGCTGCACATTCCCATCCTTATGGTGCATTCAAACCGCCATAGTGGATGCAGTGATTTCTGTGGGAAATGAGGGGAGTTCACCTCCGTGTCTAGATGACAGTGAGATTCGGCAGTACTTTCTTGTAAATCTACCCATGCAGAGAGCACTGATGCAGGGCAGTGACAGACCGGGCTCTGTGCTGGAGGTAAAGGAGGATGATGAGCAGTCCTTCTAGGACTAAATTAAAATGTCTTTTTTAAAAACCACCTAAGGACCTCTTGAGGGCATTCCATATTTCTACCTTTGTTGACATCATTTTCTCTGTATTCCATTTAAAATTTAAAAAAGGGTTACCTACAGTGAGTCCCCGAATGATTTCAAGAAAAGTTCAAGTCCTTTTAACTTCAGCGATGACCACTCTGCTCTCTCCATGTGGTGCTGCTGTTTTACAGCACCACAGCACTATCTAGTAGCAGGAGGTGAGAGCAGAGCACCGAGTGTGGGATTTACCGCTGGCAGCAGGCATCGCGCCCGCTCTGAATGCACCATTAGAGAGGCTGTGCTTTGCTGCTAATCCCTCCCTGTCCTGCAGTATAGTTTTTTAACAAGACTTGTAGCATTTAACCTGTGTTTTATGTGTGAACCCTCTATATACTTTTTTATTTTAGTTTTTAATGGAACTAGTGGCTCGTTTTTCCTGACAGTAGGCTGACAGGAAAGGGGGTATGAGAGAGGGGCACCTATACTCTTTAAACCTAAAATGCATTACTCTGTACCAAAAAAAAGGATTCAATAGTCAAACAGAGGTTGAAATGTTCTTGTGTACATTCAATAAACAACTATTGCAATTGATTTTATTGCATTTTGTTCTGATTTTAACAGGGCCAGTTAATAAAGTCCAACACCTAGACCCTTCAAACCTGGACTGCATTATTCTACATTAAAATATACATACACAGACGTTGTCTGTACAGAACGTACGTGTCTCAAGCAATAACTGAACCTTTGAATGAGCATAGGTTTTTATATCCTAAAACATATTGCACAATTTTCCTCTTTACCAACCCCTAACAACAAATGTAAATTATTTATCTAGGGTTTAAATATTTTTCCAATAATGTTTGAATTTTAGGTTTTCAGGCTCATCCTGGTCCTGATCACCTCTGTCCTCCATGAGCAGGTATCAAGGCACATACTGCATAGAAGGAGTGGCTGCTCTATAGGCTGTAGCCATTTATCCCCTCTATGCAGATTTTTCCTTTTATTTTGATGCACAACCCTGAGCTGAAGAGGTCTGCACCCATATTTGGTTATAAATGCATTAAGGGGCTGAATATTCATTAGCATTGTGTATTCCTGGGTAGAGTAGTTTAAACTCTGTAATTCATTGATTATCAGAAATACTCAAGATGCCAGAGGTGAACAGGGTATGGTGCTGAATGGATCATGAACAGGAAGTTATTTATCTTTGGTTTTGGGTGGATGGCTCTCATCTCCACTATTGTGTGACACAGCTAAATGGGCTGCTTTAAACAAAAGGTTAAAAGGTTTTCCTGCCATTTACTTGGTTGTCTGTGAGCTGCTAAAGTTTGAAAAATTCTGAGCTGGAGCTCTTCAAACACCAACAGTTAGTATGCTACCATTTAGCTTTTTAATTGTTTGGTGGTTTATTTTTGGTAAGAGATGCTGGGTTTGTGTTGATGTTTGGGTTTTTTGCTACTCACATGGTTTCTGTCCAGGAAAGAACGGAGGCCTGGTAAAACCAGTGGACTGACCCGGCTTTGGATTCCATGTTGGCTTTCCCTGTATGTAAAATGGAATATGGACCGGCTGGTAGACTGTCTGGATAGGTGGACAACCTGGACTATGAGACCTGGGTGGAGGTCTCTGATCTGGTGGCTGATAGGATTCTGGAACACAGATGAAATTAAGAGAATTTGTTGCCTTTTCATTACATACATGTATAATAAAACATATTTGCTGTCAATACTACTATGACTTTTCTTATATTAAACTCTTAAAGGGATAGTTCGGTATTTTTGACATGAATCTGTATGGCATCCCCATCACCAG